ATTTTGTTTCTAATACACTTCCTATTGAAGTCCAACATTGTCTTGTCTGTTTTCACTGCTGCTGCATTCTAAGCAATGATGTCTGAGGACTCTCAGCAACAACTCTTTCAAAAAGATATTTCCTGATCTCTAACTGCCAATTGTGTAGGTATGCCTTAGATTTTGCCAATTCACAGTGAAGTTCATCTGGCATCTTTTTAAGAGGGACTTCTTGAGATTCTTGCTGTCAGTGTTTTATTTGAACATGGAAAAAAGAGCTTAGTAGGAAGTAAAGTATTATGCCAAGATCTTGTTCATGTAGCCAAGGATATCAAGATAATGGGAAATCTGACTAAGGACTCGGGGGTGTGAGGGGAGCACACATATCACAGTATGTTAGACCCAATCCAAACACAACTTCTCCCCTCCTCAAACCCTAGTTCTATGGTATCCTTATCATTCCACCTGCAGGAAAAAACAGCCCTTTTCCTTGCAGCGATGTTGAGTACAGTATGGACTTACACCCCAGGGTCTATCACTTTTGTTCTCTTTTGTACAGAAAGCCAATATCAGTTAAAGCCTTCTCAGTTTTGGGTTTGCCCTCTTTTTCCCTTTGTGAAGGGAACTAGACATCTGTCACCCCACAAAGTGACATTCAAATGAACCCTGGCTGTTTTTACCACTTTGGTTTTGCAAGAATCACAAATCTGATCACATCTGTAAAAAAACCTAGGTCTGGTAAGCCCACATGGTTTGCTTTTAATTCTCAAATTCAGGTCATATTGTCTATATGACTGCAGCTTCAACCCAGTTTTCACTACAGCATGTGCATGTGGTCTTTAAAAGGATAACATTATTTGACCAAAATGTTTATCATTACCAATTCAAAAGCAACCTGAGTCAAGAACAGAATCTTAACAATAATAATGTTTGAATTTATATACCTTCTTGTATCTAAAGAATTCAGCATTTTAAAGACAAACTATCTGTTCTACTGGTCAGCATATTAAAAGATTTTAATTTTATATACTCTTAAAAGGTTAACAGTGTACTTTCACAAATTCAGAAGAGCTCAAAAATGGCTAACAGTCAGATCCTTAAACCCCAGAATAAACTTTCTTACCTGATGCTGACTGCCTCATCAAGCCAGGCATGAAGGAAAAACAGTAAAGAGAAATTTAGAAGTTTTAGTACAATTCACAAGTTCTTCCATTTTAAATCATACAGCAGCTTTTGAAGCATGCTAATCAGTTGCCAGCAAGTTACATTTCTAAGCCCCTTTGTTTTTTAACTAGAGAACATGACTCAAATTTCCAAGTGAGACTTTGTTAAAGAGACTTCTACTGAAGCTCTGGGAGACATTTTTATGTTGCGACCTGTGATTTTTTTTTTTTAAAGCAAGGAATTCAGTGGTGCAAAAAAGTCAAACTGTTACTTTTTGCTCTCTTCAAAAGGCTTCACTGACTAATTCTTGAAGTTTACTCAATTCTGAAGTAGTAAACAAGAGTTTTAACAAAGCTTACCAATAAATATTCAACTTACTTACACTAGGATAAGCAAGCAATACACAAGTGAGATCAAAATAGGATACAAGTATGGGTGAATGAAATTGGTTTTGGCAGAAGGCAGGATGTTATATTTTTATTTAAAGAATAAAGGTGGTGAATTCTCAGTGCTTCTTTTAGAGGAATCTAAAAAAATCAGAGCTCCCTCTGTCTCTACCTTAGTAACAGTAGGAAGTCTTAGTAAGATTTCCTGCTTAAAAACCATACACGATTCAAAAGAAAACCAGAAGGTTGCTGAAAGTATGATTTAACCACATTTAGCTTAAGAGAAACAAGTCATAAGCATTTTCAAATACTGTCCTATAATTCATATAATTACAAAGCAGTTAAAAATATCAGTTATGATCTATTAAATTATAATCACATTTAACATGAATAAAACCAGTCTAATTGAAGTTCTTAAAAATTCCACAGCATCTAATGGGTTCCCTTATTATACTTAACAGCTGACTGCTACTTATTGCTGACCCTCTCCATTGTGACAAGATCACTCTAGTTCAAGGCATATATTAATACATCACTTCTTTAAAATAAAGCTCTCAGTAACTTCTTTTGCAAAAATGCTTATCTCAGAAAAAGCAATTGCAGCATCTCAGATTGAATTAATAGAAAACACATTGTCATCTGGGAGACAATGTATCAAGCCAGGCAAATATGTCCAGTAAGTCATATATTATCAAATATTACATCCAGAAGCATTTCTGCACATGCACACAAAAAGAATGAAGGTTAAGGTTGCAGGCCTTTTCATGCTACTTTTTCCACTTTCATGAATATAAGTGACTCCTTATATATCTTCAGCTTGCTGAAGCCCATTTTTAAATATACAATTGTACTTCAACAGTGAGCCACATTCATACCGAAACCATCGCAACATGAACACTGCACAAATGGAGACATCATGAGCTAAATGAACAGTTGCAGAAACTAATATTAGCAATCCATCATCTGATGTAATTGTTAACAAGTTTAATGGCTCTACAGTTACAATGTAAATGGGGTTTCTCAAGTTCCCCAGCAGAATTAGCTTCTGTATATGAAAGGGACTGCTATGCATGCATTGCGACAGAACTATATCAGAGCCATTGCTTATTGATCTCTGAAAAGTCTGAGGTTTAAAAAAAGCCTAAGTATGGTTTCATATATTCTGCATCAATGTTTAATCCAAAAACCAACATTAAAGACATTCTTAATTTTCCTCAAGAATGAGATTTTATCCATATCATATGCAAAAGACAGAGGATAGTCTTCCGAGAGCTTCCTGATGATTTGTATAGCTCTCAAGATTATGTGTAAAATAAGTCAGCAACACATACTGTATATGGCAACATTTTTTGTTTAGAAACAGTGAAGCATTCTCTAGCAAATTTAACAAGAAATTTGAAAAGGGTCTGTGAAATGAGAAATGTGTTATAATTGTAATTGTATTAAGACAAAGCTCAAAGTTGTAGCTTTTATTTCAGTGTCAATTTCCTGTTTCCCTTCAGTGAACGTTAAGGTTTTTTTTTTTCTAAAGCCATAGCTATAAATTAGGACTAACTTGTCCTAATAATTAGGACTATCTTGTAAATAACAGCCATGAGCAATGCCAGACAAGGGTCATTCTTGGAGCCGATTATTCAAGAAGCCCAAACCAACCAGACACTGAACCCAGGAACTCTTATTTACCCCGCTTGCTCTTGTTACCTGATCACTGTTGTCCCTCCAGAGGAGGAGGCCCTAATATCATGGACTCACTGTCTGAAAGATGATAGCCGAGAGGAACAGTATGGGCTTCCCTTCTCTGAAAAGCTGCAGAGATGGCCACCCCCACATCTCTTACCAAAACCATTTGGATTCTCCAATGCCATATATACCTCTAGAGATTTAAAATCTAAATTAGAATAAATTTTGTAGACCTCAAAAGATGTGTAAGGAATATGTAAAAAGAAAAAAAAAAGGGGGGGGGGGGAAATCACAATGAACATATTTTCCTTTCATTGTGAAGCAGATATGGAAAAGATCTGTAACAGTCAGAGATATCCTTAGTAGAGAAATTCAGAAAATAGGTTACATCTCATTTATTAGTTTCACAGTGTTGTCTTTGTTCGTCTTTTTTTTTTTTAAATTTAAATTATTAAAACTCTTCCAGGACAACTTTGAATCTTCTCAGATTTCCTAAAGTCAGCTTAAGATCTAATTTTGTAATTGATACAATAGACAATAATATTTTCAAATAGGAAGTTTTACTATGCTGCTGTCTTTACTGCTCCTTTCTCCAAGATTTAATGTCATGTCAAAATACAGAAAATCCCAGCAAGTTAGCCAGATTTTGTTGAAATAAAGTTGTTCAAAACATTCCAGTGGGTTGTCAGAGTCAGGGACATGAGGAAGAAAGTGAATACATTTAAAAGTGCGTTCAGAAACTCAGGAAAATATTTCAGGGAAGTTTTACTACAATACTAATGAGGATAAAAATACTTTTTCCCCTTGTAGTTCACCTAAACTACAAATATTCAAGTTAGCCTGAAGTGTTCAGGGTGGAGGTTGGACATAAATTTGGGGTTTAGTAGACTGGAGTCACCATTACATAGCCTTATGATTTGTCTTTGCTTTTGCCTTTCCCCCACACCCAGAAGCAATGTTTGTAAGGCAGCACTCAAGATTCTAATCAGAGTCTCATTTATCATATCAGACTAGTTAAGCAAAATAGAGCAAACAAACTCTTCTCTAAAAAAACATCCAGTGCATTATATACTGTGACTTCAGAAAGCAGGAAATGTCTTGATCGCGCTTACAAATAACACGCAGTGAGAGGATTTCAAAAGCTGTTTGCAAAATTGCTTCCTTTGGTTAGTAGTTAATAAATCTCTATTACACATTTCATTTACCATGGAGGCTTATTTATTTTAAGACATAGTTTTGTCTTTGATATCCTTTAAATGTGGAAATTAATTTCCTTATCTAAAAATTTTCACTCAGCAGAAGTTTCAGTCAGATAAACAAAATGCTGATTTTTAAGGAGTCTGGCAATGACCTTTGAAATGAAGTTGTTAGCCAATCCCTGTAGGATCCCATAGAAAGAGCCAAGCTGCACTCCTATGTGCCTGAACTTCTTGATCTGCACTATCTCAATCTTTCTGGAGTTCATAAATGTAATTCAATCTGATATAGTTGCAGTCTGACCTATACATTTGTTACAGCAAATGCAGCAAACCACCTTGAAACAGAACCCCAAATTTAAGTCAACAGGCAATAGCAGAACGTGATCAGAAGTCAGATCAAGTATTAAACTCCAGGTTTGATAGGCTTTTTGTCAGCTCAAAGAAGGAACAGCAGTGAATGACAATACTATACACGTGAACAGACCTAGACTTTTTTTTTTGGTTGTACCAAAATGGTTGCTGTACTTCAAAGACAAAAACCTCAAGAGTCTCTGGACTGAGATTTTTAGATTTCTTTTGTCATCTATATTAGGACTGAAAGCAAGAGTCATGAGGTACTACAACATTAGATGAATCTGCCCCATGCGTCATTAACTCTTTGGAATCCAAGCTCATGTATGTGATCAACTACTGTTTAAGGGAATAATTACTTTGTTTTTGAAACTCGTACTTTTAGAAGAATGACCCAGAGGAACAGAACTGGCATACAACGTGAAATATTTATCTCAAATGAACTTCACTGCGCATATCACTAGACAGAGTTCAAACTATTGCAGCATGTGTCATAAGTGAAAAGCAAAGAGGTGCAAGAAATTTCCAAACTGAGTCATCTCAGGCTTCTGGGCTTTTTAATAGCACTTAAATATTTGGTCTCTCTTTTTAACTGCCAGCTTCTTTAAGTCATATTCAGTCTCACAGTAGTATGAAATGCTTTGCAAAATCCCTGTGGATGTCAAAGCTTAAGTAAAATCTAGGAAATAGTTGTAATGCAGTAAAAGAAAGCCCATCTCCTGTTGTCCTGCTATTTATTTCATATTGTTCTGAATGTGATCTTACAGTTCCTGACTTAAGTTTTTATAAAGAGTGGCTTTTCAACATTATCAGTTAAAAAGCACTTGAGCCAAAAGGAAACATGATGTTAAATGCATGTTGCGTATCGGTTTTACCATAGACATGTCTGCTGTATTGTAAACGTGACAAAGATTAAAACTAGCAACAAGTGCTCAGACCAGAAGGTTTCCAGTGAATCAGAACAGGAAACCAATAAAGCGATCAATGGGAGGTCACGACTTTTTGATCACTGCATGTAAGGCTGAAGAATCTGGTTTTGATCTAGTGCTGTGTAATCAAATTAAACTTTGAAGTTCTGTATTGAATATGCAATTGAAATAGCAACAGCACTAAGGAAGTACCCAACTTTCAAGCTTTTTTCAAAAGAAATCAGTTTTTGGTAACCATAAGCCAGATTTTATCTATTGATGGAATTTTTCTAAGATCTGACAAGTTTTTTGCTGCAAGATTGTATGCAATTCCAAAAAAAGTTCTAAGCTGACTTAGCCCTGGGAAGTTCCTATAAATAGCTACTTGGTAAATAGAAGGAAAGTTCCCAGCAACTCTTCCTACAAGAAGTTCTAACGAAAGTGTTTATTTGGAGTGAGGACATGGTATCAAAAATACGTTAAAACAGCAGCATGATCACACTGAATATAATGCAATTATTATATTCAAGGAACTACCTAAATCTCAATGCTCCTTCTCCCTAGAGCACGCATCTACAAATACAAAAAAGTTACTGAAACCTCAAGCATTAACTAGAATGTACTGGCTGATATAGAGACTGAAAATGTACGCATTATAGGCAACAGTTACAGGAAATGATAATTTCGTACTTTTACTCTGTCCTTTTAAAGCAGGAGTTAAACTCAGCATTTTTAAATGGACTAAGTAACATTTAGTTTTGCCTCCAACTGCAGAAATTAATTCCATCAGCGCTGGCTGCCATTCTGAGACTTATTAAAAGAACTTCAGGAGAGGTTTCCACCACATTTCCACTGTTTGCCCCACTTGCATTCAGATAAATTTACAGAGACGTACTATAAGCTAATACATAGCATTCCTCTCCTAAGTTTGTTTCATAGATGGCACTTATGTATGGCTGCTAAAACAATTTTATTTATTTTTTAAGGAACAACTACTCAGATAAATTCAAACCAATAGAACCTCAATTTCTCCAATCTTCAATCCCCAAAACTTGATTTATAGGCAGAGACACAGGAGAGACCCTGACATATCTACTACAGCAGACAGGTCACACAGCTTCAACAGTCAAGAGACAAGCATTATTGCTATGATCATGAAATAACTTGATCTACAAACACTTCTCTTGCTTTGGCAATCCAGACAAACTCTAAACAGGTACTCAAGTGTAGCTAGCTATATTAATCTCTAATGCTGCAAGCAGGGACTACTATTTGCACAGCAAGACAAATTTAGGGCTTTGACACAGTAGGATAGAGTCAGAAAAAAAGGCGGAAATGTTTGCAAAGAGAACAATCACCAATTTTCATGTATGTTACCACAGAATCTAATCTGTCAGTAGTGGCAGTGAAACAGTTAAAACTTTATACCGAAAACTTTCACCCTCATCGATGTGAACAAAGTCATAACTATTTCGTTTGAGGGCTAACTGCATCAATATCCTGGTTACACTGTTCACATTTAGAGGTTTCCTTCACTCTCATGACAAATGGAAGATATTTTGTTGATGGAGGTGTTACTGGGGGAAGGGAGAGGAATTGACCTTACCTGATACAAAGGTGGAGGTTTTAACCAAAGGTCTGTGGAACGGAATACCATCATCATGGAATCAATCCTACCTTTTTGAGCAAGTGTAATAACAAGTCTGTGCTCGTTACACTATGAATTCCCATTCAAAATTAACTGAATTAAACAACTGATGTTCACAAAATATACAGGGATTCCACTGTGCAATAACACTTCGGCCTGTGTTGATAGCTTAGTTAAGTCAGACAGTTACCAAAGCTAGTTGTTTTATTAAGGGCAGGGTAAATAAACTGGAGAAAATTATTGGAGAATTAAGGCCCCCTTACACATCTGTAACAATCTTGGTATTATCAAGCCAGTATAACAACTCTGACTCTCAAGTACGAGCAGAGTTAAAGGAATAAAGCAGTTCACTTTTCTAAAGCATACAGTATATATTTAACTATCCTATGCAGACAAAGCTGCTAAATGAGATTGGGTGCTTGCAAACCACATGACCTCACAAATGCTATCTTATCATATCACAGGTTCCTCAGACTGACCACAACCACTTAAATCAGACTCCGGCAGCACAGAGGCTCTGCAACTTTGACACATGCTAGTAAAGCAGCTACATTTTTAGCTGCCCAGCAGCCTTGCAAGAACTTTACTTGTGGGGAGGGAAAATCTGATGGTCTCTTGTCCAACTGCGCTTGCAAGATACGGTAAAAGAAAAGCACATGATTTATTGTGCTATAAACTTCCACCACAAGTTGAAATGCTTACTTTGTAAATCTGAGGACTAACATATTTCCTTTCAGGGACAACATTTCTTATCAAGTAAGAAAACATTTATAGAAAGCCACATATTTTGCAAGCATTTGTCTAGTGAAACAAACTATTAGGTGTTAATGGGATTCTAGTCACTATGGAGAAAAGTGCTTTGCAAGTATTAACTACAGTACCTTTAACAACAGTTTTAGTGAGAACAGTGAAGTGAAAACCATGTAAAAATTGACTGAAATAACTCCCACAAAGCTTAGCTGGTTTTATAAAAGCAAGTGAGTAAAATTACAATTGACAAGAGACAAATATATATCTGCCTGTACTACATGGAAATCAAATAGTACACTCCTGCCAGAAAAAAAGGGGAAAATAAGTTAGCAAGAGACTGAGTGAAAGAGCATTATGTCCAATTATAAATTTTACCAAAAAAGTATTAGGACTTTCTGGACTTGCTGTTCTCTCCTTAGTTCTGATCAAAGGATTCTAAATGCTGATAAATCTGATCTCTCAGTCTCATTTGCCCATGTGATCTGATGCACTTCTATTACCCTATAAATACATCTTCAGAGAAGAACTTTAAAAAACATTCTATTAGGTTGAACTTCAACTAAAATTCAGCTCCCCAGCTAATCCTTCTGTCTCCATCATGCAAAGCTACATACAACTCATTCATAGCTTTAAGTTACTTAAAAACATGCTCACACTACAGTCATGACTGCAACACAGCACAGGCACATCCAAAACAACTAGCTCGCCACCAGCAGTTCGACTCCAGCAGGATGAAGATTCAAAGTTATTTACCCTGCTTCTGAATGTAGTCTAGTGGTGCTTCAGTAAGAGAATGTTTGATTTGGTAAGCACTGAATCTGACTCAAGGCAAGAGGAAAGGAATTATGCTTCCTGCTGGTATCCCATCATCAAGTCCAGATACTATTATTGTGAGAGAAATCAGGAGCTAGGAATGCTGCTAGAAGCGGTCAACCCATCTTGTGTGACACCAGTGGGTCACAAGTAGCATCATAATTTTGTGCTCATCTATGGCCAGTGCAGGACTCATCATTTAGCTGTTCGTAAACACATTCTCTCATCTCCTCAGAGAACAACCTGGACCAAACTGTGCTGGAGACCAGAACCTCTCACTGGTCCATACTGATTTCAGATTACTAGCTAATAATTTAAAAAACCAAGGAGGAAATAATTTGGCAGCTTTTAAACACAGCTTAAATATCATACACTTGTATGGTAGGTAAGACCAAAGGAACAGTTAACATGATTTAAACCTTCCTCCTGTACTATAAGTACAATGTACTATAGTGCACTGAATTTCATTTAGGTGTTGTATGATGTGGCCTATATAGGTGGGCTTTTCGGGTTTTTTTTAATCCTTCACACTGATGGCTACAGTTTACTTTCCCTTCTCCATTTAGTTTCAGTAGTGAAAGCCTAGAAAGCTAAGCCAAGTTGCAAAACTCAGCCATATTACCAATTACTCCTTTGGTCACAGCTTATGCATTATTTATCCTCAAAGAAGTTACTTAAAGTGTCTTGAATCTTATTTACACAAGCAAAATCCTTTAAAAGCATAGTATTTAATCTCCAACTTTTATATCTGTTTTCATTAAGCCAATCTTAAAATGTTAGCTCACCAGGAGCAAGATCACACCGTGAGATAGCACCTCTATCAGAATCTTACAACTGCATTAGGTTCTTAAAACATAATATCAGATCCATTCATAGATAAACTATATGTATGTGCGATGAATTGTAGGCTAGGGGTCACTGCTTCTTTGAAGAGCCAACAAGTTTTCAGACACCAAAAATGGGAAAGACTTCAAGAAATCTCCCCTTTTTTGCACTGTCATAATGCAAAAATAGCCACCAGGCTTTTATTAAATGTTCTATTATAAAGCCTTTTAAAAGCTTCAGAAAATTATTTCCGTGCAATAGTAATAATGCTCCAGTCACCTGTCATCATCTTTTCATCAGCAGTGCTGAGATTCTGTTAACATGGGCAGTTTGCAGAAGGTTTTCTGAGTGTTGTAACTGTGCCATGCCAACATCAGGATTTTATTTTTCATTCAAATACCAAACAAACATGCATAAGATTTGAACATTA